TATTATGTTTAATTTTTTTCTTGAAATTTTTGTTCTGAAGTCAAAGTTATAACATGATGTCATAATGTAATTTTTTAAAATGTTGAGGATGACAGATTTTGCTATTAAAACGTTTCCATGGGTGCTGCTTGTACAAATAGGATGACTAGAGACAAACAACCAAAATAGTAAGTAGAGAAAGGAAACGTAAAGGAATTAAAAATTGTTTTTGTTTGTTGACTTGTGTTGATGATTTTAAGCATTGGTAAAGATTACAGATAATGATGAAGTTCTTATCATAGCCAAATTGTGTACTATGTGTGCTGCAGAGTTACGATTTGTACCTTTGTTATTTAGATTTGCCCCCCACTATTTATATATATATCCGTATTTACTCAAATCTAATGCGCCATGCGCACCTCAATTTTTTAAACCTGGAAGCTGAAAAATGTTTTTGCTGGTGAATGTAACGGGCATTTATACAAGTAGATACTACTATACAACTTGTGCTATAATGAAAATTTTTATTGCCATATGCCATAGTAACATTGATGGTATTTCAATTTTAGTGTTACATGTTAAAGGGACACTATAGTCACCAGAACAACTATAGCTTAATATAGTTGTTCTGGTGAGTATAATCATTGCCTTCAGGCATTTTAATGCAAACACTGCCTTTCAGAGAAAAGGCAGTGTTTACATTGCCCATAGGGACACCTCCAAGTGGCCACTCCCTAGATGCATAGTAGGCAGCACTGCCATTCAGCGTCTCCACGCTCTGCATGGGGATGCTGATTTTCCTAACAGAGAAGCATTGATTCAATGCATAGGCCGGTGAGATAGTTTAGTGGGCTAATGCATCATCAGTGGAATCTGTTCAACCCTTAGGTTGCAGGTTAAAATTCCGGCAGGGTTGAATCAGCCCTTCATCCTTCCGTGGTAGATAAAATGAGTACCATTAAATTGGGTAAAAGTAACAAACCCTGGATGTTTGGCTAAGGCAACATCCCCAGGATGTACTTGAAAACCAGAGTAATCTGAATGTACCTTTCCTGGTTAAATACTTTGTTATTATTATTATGAGGAGGTGCTAATTGGCCAAAACTGCGTTTAGCCCCATCCCTTTGCCGATTTTAACCAATCCAATGCTTTCCACATGGATTGACTAAAAATCGGCAATTGTGATGATGTCACCAAGGGGGCGGGGCCAGTGCCAGCGGACCTGCGCTACGCTGGAAATAATGTGAGTTTAATTGCTTTTAAGTGAGTGGGTTTAGCACTATAAGGTCAGGAATACAGGTCTGTGTTCTGACCCAATAGTGTTTCTTTAAGTATATTCTTTCTTAAACTCTCTTTCAGGATCAGAATTTGCCTATGTGAATTTGCTGGAACGAAATTTGCTGGAATACAATACGCCGGAAAAGATTTAATTTTGCCCCGAATGTATTGCGCCATCGAATCTAATGCGCATTCAAATTTTGGAAACTTTATTTTTCAAAAAAGGTGCACATTATATTGGAGTAAATACGGTATTTTTTATTTGTTACTGTATAGGAGTACAGCTATTGATGTAAAGGGATTAAAAAATGTTTTGTTTGTAGACTTGTGTTGATGATGTTAAACATTGGTAATGATTACAGATAACGATGAGGTTTTTAGCATAACCAAATTGTGTACTGTGTGTGCTGCTGAGTTACTATTTGTGCCTTTTTTATTTAGAGTTACCCCCCACTATATATATATTTATTCATTTATTACTGTGTAGGAGTACAGCTGCTGATGTACACTCACAGCTTGTATAATCAAGAAATATAATACTGTATATGCTTGAGTATAAGCCGAGTTTTTCAGCACATTTTTTGTGCTAAAAAACCCCCCCTCGGCTTATACTCGAGTCACTGTCTGTATTATGGCAACTTACATTGCCATAATACAGACCAGAACCGCCGGTCTCATTACAAGCCTGGCGGTCCTGTTGGGGGCCAGAGCAAGCTGTTACCTTTGCAGCAGCTCCATTCACCTCTGTTCCGTTCAGCTCCCAGTGTAAATCTCGCGAGACTCACACCCGTCAGAGCGTTTACCATGGCAACGGTTTACCGTGGCAATGCTCCGCGCGGCACGCAGACCGCGAGATTTACACTGGGAGCTGAACGGAACGGAGGTGAACCGAGCTGCTGCAAAGGTAAGTAAACGCTTGCTGCCGGCTCCCCCACTGCACAGCCCATGCCACTGGACCACCAGGGAATCATATAGCCCCCTCCCTGGCCAGGTAACAAGCAGGGAGGGGGGACAAAAAAAAAAGTTACAAAATTAAATATTAAAATAATCAAAATAATAATATTAAAAATATTAAAATAATTATATTAAAATAAAATGTAAAAAAATTCAAATAATAAAAATGCCCTCCTCCCACCCAGTTTACACACACTACACAAACACACACACACTCTGCATTATATACACACACACTGCATTCACACAAACACACACATTCTGCATTCATTATATACACACACAGCATTTATTATATACACACACTACACAAACACACACACACACACACACACACACTCTGCATCGTATACACACACATTCTGCATTCATTATATACACACACACTACACAAACACACACACACACACTCTGCATTATGTACACACACTGTAAATAAATATTCAATTAATGTAATTTTATTGGGATCTAATTTTATTTAGAAATTTACCAGTAGCTGCTGCATTTCCCACCCTAGGCTTATACTCGAGTCAATATGTTTTCCTATTTTTTTGTGGTAAATTTAGGGGCCTCGGCTTATATTCGGGTCGGCTTATATTCGAGTATATACTGCACATTAAAAAGGACTGGATAGGAGGATCTAGAGCAAATATAAGAACATAGGATTTGATAAACACACATGTAACATTGATAGTAAATTTCCAGTACAACAGTGATCTACAATGAAATGGATGATAATTGATGACTTTATTTGGTTTGTTGTTATAGAATGGAAAAAAGGTGTTTTTAAGAAATACTTTTTTAGAAGTTGCTGGTTCCTACATTCCATAGCTATAACAGTTCTAAACTACAAAGTGATAACAATAAAATACGATACCACAAAATCAGTACACCTTTATTGAAATAATTGGGAAGTTAATTATGTTTTATTGATGACACTGTTATCAATAACTCTTACGTAAGAAGATGACAACTAAATGTGTTATGTCTGAAACCTCACATGACTTCAGCATAATAAAAGTGACAAAAGCTGACTAAATTCACATTAGTCTGATCTCAGGTTCTTAGTGTGTGACCCTGTGTCCAAAGCGTGGGTGTCACTTTTTATCCTCCAAATAAAATCCTTCTTCGACTAATCACGTTTCTCTTCGCCTGTCAATACATGTTATCCATAGTTCTGCAATTCTGCTTCAAGTGTAGCAAAAGACATTGAGTTCACACATTCATGTCATGCTCCTGCTGTTCAAGCAGCACTCACATTATGAGATGTGTGAAAGAAAGTCATCAAATTGTTTTGCAGAATTAATATTTATCTTATCACGTACCTGCAATATATGACTCAATGTGTGAGCAGATCTGTTTAAAGATAACATTGTAAAAATGTTCCCAGGCACTATATTATATATACACAATACATCATTTTTGTTATCTCTAAATGAGCTAGCCAGTTATCTGTCAAAAGTGGTAGACACCATGTTATTGAGATTATTATACAGTCCTTTGGACACTTACAGAAAATTGCTTTAGTCTGTAAACTCAGCCGAGCTGCTGTCATTACTACTTGCAACACATATTGGGATATTGAGTATAGTGACCATTTGTGAGGTTAGTTGTAGCTGTAACCCAGATGTAAAAGAAGGGAATTAGGTGCTCTCTGAAGTGATAAGATTAGGATAATAGTGGGCAGCAGTAACCAATACAAGGATTCACAACGTTGTGAGTATTGTGGTATAAAGAAAAGGAGTAGTAGACCGCACCCTAAGCTGTATGATTAAACTTATATACGTACACAAATCTTTTGTGGTCTTGTACATACAATAGACCTCAAAAACAAAAGAAAATAAAGAAACAAAAAGTGCAATACGGTATATTCAGTGAGTAGGTGTTGGAGTAATTGTATACAGTATCACTCACATTTACCAGAGCTAACTTAGAGCACTGCTGTAGTGCGCATGGACGGAACAACCCCCGTCTAAGGATATGTGATGATATTGGTGTCTCAGATAAAGTACAGTATACAGGTCATATGTAGAGAAACATAGAGAGATATTCCAATAGTGAAGTAAGTACTTACAAATGTTGAAAAAAAAATAATAAAGTAACATACTCACATTTACTGTGTATACAGCATAGGTGGTATAATCCCCACCTGGGAATATGATGGTAGTCAGGAAATAAAAAATGAAGGTATAGAGTAAATTTTAAAAGATTAAAAATGTACCATTTATTAACAAAAAAACAATAAAATCTGTGTGAAGTATCTTCAAAAGGGTCCCACTTTACGCTTTTCACCTGTAGAGGCTCCTTTTCTTGTAACCCTAAAGCACAAACACATGCCGCATGTATGTATGTATATATATATGTATGTATATATATATATATATATATATATATATATATATATATAGGAAACAAGGGGGGGTTGGCTGCACTCACCTGAACATGCATAAATGGGGGTGCTGCTGGGGGCCAAATAACACAATACACAAGATCCAGCGCACTCACCTATCCACTAAACAGCAACTTCAGTGTTGAAAGATTTTATTAGTTTTTTTAAAAACACCTAATGCAGGCAAAAATAATGGGGGTTTAGTTACATTATATGATCATACATTGCATAAGCCTGCCACAACGTCAATGTACCCCATCTTTGGCAGGTCCTACACTAACAGCCTAATGTCTGCTTTTATGAGATTAACCTACTTGGGGAAAAAATTCCATCTGGGGCTCTCTGCAGTACAAGGCCTTGTACTGCAGAGAGCCCCAGATGGAATTTTTTCCCTACTTGGGGAAAAAATTCCATCTGGGGCTCTCTGCAGTACAAGGCCTTGTACTGCAGAGAGCCCCAGATGGAATTTTTTCCCCAAGTAGGTTAATCTCATAAAAGCAGACATTAGGCTGTTAGTGTAGGACCTGCCAAAGATGGGGTACATTGACGTTGTGGCAGGCTTATGCAATGTATGATCATATAATGTAACTAAACCCCCATTATTTTTGCCTGCATTAGGTGTTTTTAAAAAAACTAATAAAATCTTTCAACACTGAAGTTGCTGTTTAGTGGATAGGTGAGTGCGCTGGATCTTGTGTATTATATATATATATATACTAATATATATATATATATATATATATATACACACACACATATATATACACACACACATACACTGCTGTGTGTGTGTGCTGTTAGTGTGCTGTGTGAGGGTGGCGTAAGGGTGCTGTGTGTGTGTGTGTAAGGGTGCTGTGTGTGAGGGTGCTGTTAGTGTGATGTTTGTGTGAGGGTGCTGGTAGTGTGCTATGTGGGTGAGGGTGTTTGTGTGGGTGCTGTTAGTGTGCTGTGTGTGACGGTGCTGTTTTTGTGATTTGTGTGAGGGTGCTGGTAGTGTGCTGTGTGTGTGTGAGGGTGTTTGTTAGGGTCATGTTAGTGTGCTGTGTGAAGGTGCTGTGTGTGTGAGGGTGCTGTTTGTGTGCTGTGTGTGGGCATTGTGTGTTTTTGAGGGTGCTGTTAGTGTGCTGTGTGTGAGGGTGCTGTTTGTGTGTGAGTTTGCTCTTTTTGTGAGGGTGCTGTGTGTGTGTGTATGTGAGGGTGCTGTTAGTGTGCTGTGTGTGAGGGTGCTGTGTGTTTGTAAGGGTGCTGTGTGTGTATGTTTGTGAGGGTCCTGTTAGTGTACTGTGTGTGTGAGGGTGATGTGTGTGTGTGAGGGTGCTGTATGTGTGTAGGTGCTGTGTGTGTGTGGGTGCTGTTTGTGTTCTGTGTGTGTGAGGGTGCTGTTTGTATGCTGTGTGTGTGAGGGTGCTGTATGTGTGTATGTTCTGTATGTTTAGAGGGATTGTGGGGGTGGAGGTGTGGGCAGATTAGTAAATATCCCCCCTCCCTTCTTACCTTGCTGCCATGCTGCCTTCCCTGGTGGTCCAGTGGAGTGTGAACTCTAGCCTGCGGGGCTAGAGTTCACTCTCGTGAGATCTTAGCGTTGCCACGACAAAGCTCAGATCTCGCAAGAGGAACCCGGCGGAGCTGCTGGCTAGAGCTACCCAGGTCCTCTCCTGCCTCCCTCCATGGTGCTGTGGGCCAGAGAGGGAGATCTTTGATCTCCCCACCGGCCAATGGAGGCTTAGAGCAGATCCTGATATCTCCCCTGCCAGTATCAATCCATAGGCGTGCTGCGGGGATTAGTGTGTGCCTAGGCAAACCCGGCACACCCCATGCGCATGCCTATGCTGTTAGGAGGTACTTGAGGATTGGGTTGCGAACCACTGCCATAAACCACTGTTTTTAACTCTGCTTTCTAAACTAATGCATAATAAATCGTAAGGACCAATCACTGGCATATATATAAATATATATATATATATATATATATATGCCACTTACAGGTGAAGTGAATAACATTGATATTGTTACAATGGCACCTGTCAAGGGCTGGAATATGTTGGGAAGCAAATGAACAAGCAGTTCTTGAATTTCATGTGTTGGAATCAGAAAAAGTGGGCAATTGTTACAAAGATCTGGGTGACTTTGACAAGGGCCAAATAGTGATGGCTAGACAACCGGGTCAGAGCATCTCCAAAACGGCAAGTCTTGTGGAGTCCTATGCGATATTAGGCAGGTGGTTTTAGTGTTGTGGCTGATTAGTGTATGCATAATGCACACGCAATAAGGGTGCAGCTGGTGATCAATAGATACAAGATACAAAATGGGGTACATTGGCGTTGTGGCAGGCTTTTGCAATGTATAATAATATGCTGTAACCAAATCTCATAAGGGTACTTTTGGACAAAAATATACAACATAGACGGAGTTATTTACAAAAGTGAGATCTCAAAATCAAATTCAAATTTAAGGTCAGATTAGTTGAACTGAACGTATAGATAATAACAGAATTTTTCCAGTTTGGTTAATTTGACCTTGAATTTGAAATTCATTTGGAATTCACACTTTAGTGAATAACCCTGAGAGAATACAACATACTCCACACATTTGTTAAAAACACTTAACTAATGCAACCACTTACATTGATTATCCATCCACCTCGGTCTCTCTGCAGTCTGCACTTATGTAAATATGGCTTACAATTACAAGTCCTGTGCTCCTAGCCAGGCCTCAAAAGAAGACTCCTGTACCTAAAGAACTTCAGCTTGCTAAAGTGCTTTATGTGTGAAGAGTGTACTCTTTTTTATTTTACAAAAAGTGCAGATTTCAATAGAAATTGGCATTTCTATACATTAACCTTGTTACACTCCTTTGGCTGTCAATCATACAACAGGTTGCTTCCTGGTTTGGTTAGTGGAGCTAAACTTAAGAGGCAGCAATTGCCCAGATTACAATTGCTGCCTCTTAAGTTTAGCTCTACTAACCAAAGACTTCTCATTGAGCTGCATTGGGAAGTCTGTGATTGGACAGCCACAGAAAGCCTGGGAGGAGTTACAAGGGGAGGGCTTGCATAGGCTGCAGACAAGAGGTCTTGTCTGCACACACTGATATTTAAATTTAAATTTAACTGACACTTTGTTGTGTGTCAGTGTGTATTTGTACCCATATAATCTGTTGTGATGAGTGTCATTGATTCAACTGTATACCTACTTTTAGGCCACTATGTATATATATATATCTATAATACTGACACATTAATCTACAGCTTGCTCTGGTGTGGGTAGCCATACAGGTTATCTGCAATAATGGGATGTTTCTGTTCATGGCACATCAATTTCGCAAAGATTACTTGCTGTCAGAAGCAACTGCAGTTGCTCATCTATCAAATGTTTTCAAGAGAAAGCTAAACTCAATGAAAAGAGCTGAAATAGCTGTGCATTAGTGATTGTTGTAATTAGAGAGCTGCCTTGCTTGCTCCTTTGTAGAATCACTAGGTTTATATAGAGACCTGAAGCGTTGCAAACAAACCAGAACTGGGTGTAAGGGGACACTGAGAACAGACAGAAACATGTAAAACAGATTGCCCTTTGATTAGTCCCCACTCATGTTTACAATAATACATTTTACAGAGTTATTTACTAAATTGAGAATTCATGGTGAATTATGCTTTTAGGTTGCCTACTCTGGATTTGAAATTCACTTTGAATTTATGTTCAAATCTCACTTCAGCGAATAACGCTGTTCGTTCACGTGTACCATTAAAGACAAAACCTAATCTAATTGCAAATCAGACTGATCCCATCCAGAAGGGCAGCCAGACCCAAAATGTAAATATGTCTACTCTGCTGTTTTGTAGTGGCTAAAATGTTTGCAGTGCTTTTAGTAGACACATCACATAAATGCCAAATAGAAGACAAAAATTTAAAAATATAGATGAGACCAAAGATTAACAGAAGGTAGCAACACACTATATATCTAGATAGATAGATAGATAGATAGATAGATAGATATCTTATTCCAGGAAATTAAGAGAACATATGTACTAATCAGGGCTAGTAAAAAATAAAAAAATAAATGTTAGGCCTTAAACTAGGGTGCTCGGTTTTATTTTATTAAAAATATTCATCAATCTAAGATCTCTAATGATTTTAATATAAACATTGCAATAACAAAATGTAATGAAATGAAATGCTTGATTACAAATGTAATATTCCAAGGACACATCACTAACGAGAATTGCAGTCTGTTGCAATTGCAAATACAGTACAGATGAGGATGATTTGCCAGTTTAAAACTAATTGGAAAAGCAGCTTCTATCACAACACACCAGCATTGTATAATCCTGAAGATTTAATTCAGACTCTACGTGGGAGCATGCATTCTTTCTGGAAAACATCCAACTCAGCTTGAGCTTAGGCAGTGCATCTGTTCTACAGACCAAAGTCCAAGTTGATGTTATATCTGCACTAAAAGAGAGAGCTCTATTGAAAATCTAAAGTAACATGTAACCGTTCAGGAATGAGAGTATCAAACAAGTCAGGATGTAACGCTAATAAGAATATAGTAGCTGCTTGTAACGAGAATATACCCCTACACGCAGGATCCAGCTAAACAGAAGCCAATACAGAGGAGAGATACGTCTACCGGACCTTAGAATGGACGGACTCGACGTATATGAGAGGAGACAGAGCCAGGAACAAACCGAGGTCAAGAGCACAGAGAGACAGCGTAAACTAGGACAAGCCGGGGTCTGGTACACGGAAAACAGCAAGCCGGCAAACAGTACAGATAAGGATAAAGCGAAAACGAAGTCAGAATACAAAGCCAAAGTCAATACGAGAAAACACAACTGAACACCACAAGCGCTAAAGGGAACTGAAACAGAAACCACGATAGGGCAACGAGCTAAGGGAAAAAGGTAAGTTTAAATAGCTTTAAACGAAAGTGATTGGCTCCTGTCACTTCCACACCCCCTATAGGTAATTGTACAGGGAGTGTGGTATGACAGGAGCCAATGGGAGCCTTTTGGCAATTAGGCTCCCACTGTCTCTTTAAGAGCGCGCCCGAGACTCGCGGCGCGCTCTTAGTTTCAGGCGGGACACGTGACCGCCTCACGCGGTCACTGCCCGCCCTCCATCTAAAGCAGTCGGATGAGCCGCGCGCGGCTCGTGCAGCCGCAGGACCGCGCGCGGCTTGAAGAGAGGACCGCGACCGGCCCCCGGTTAAGGTAAGTAACGCTACACTGCTAAAATACTAAAAAAATTAATTTTTCACTAGGCTAGGCCCTGAAAATGCAGTTTTAACTCAGACAGGTTAACCAAAGCAATTCAAGCCTTTGGGTTGAAGTCAACGCAACTTAGCGTTTGTCTAGTCACAAGTGATTTTAACGAGATTCGAAAACCGATTTATCAGTAAGAACATTTAATGCGTTTGCTCAAATTTATAGTATGTTTTAACTTAACTCTTTAAAAAAAAAAAAACAATGATGGAATAATTT